GTTTCCATCACAATGAAGTGCTAGCATATGCAGCTGTAGCGGTGTTTTAGACTGCATTAATCATTTTAAAAACCGTTGTAGGTGAATCAGTCTGCATATAAAAACATCTCACCACTTAGGGCGCCTTAGCCCATAAATTCCACTTAAGCATTCTGCTACGAAATCGAAAAAGAGATAAGAACATTCATAATTGCAAAGGGTAGACTTATAGTGAGCTTCTCAACAGTTTCCCCACTTTGACCAGAACATATAATGAAGCCAACTTGGCTGTTCTGGGGAAGCTAGCCATACCGACCATTTTTCCCCTGCAAGAGCAACGTACCAAGCATTGGTCAAATATTGGAACAAAAAGCTGGAAAAATGCAGCAAAGGACAGAAGAGAAGGAGGAGAAGCAGAGACCTATCAAACCAATCCCCTGAGTCAACAAATCGCTTTCATAAATGAGACACTTAATTACTAAATCTTGTCAGGCTTAATTTCAGGACTTCAATTTCAAACGACGAAGAACCTGCTCAGACTTGAAGTACTTTTTTCCCATTACTTGTAACGAATACACAAAAGTAGCAAGTTCGTTTAACTCTTGGTCCTCTTGCTGGTTAAAATATTTAAAGCAGGATAGGGCGGTGTTTTTCAGCAAGATCTTGAAGCACAAATCTAACAAAGTTGATCCGTTAGCGTTCATACTGCAGGCAACGAATCTGTTTGTGCGTGGGATATCTAGACTTGGTGAATGAGGCCAGCCATCATACACAATCCTCATGAAATCCAGAAGAAGGATATTATTTATTAAAATAACTAATCTTCGTTTTTTGAGATTTGTTTATTTTTAATAACTATCAAGATATGAGTTCGAGGGCTTTTCAATTTTCCAATGCACAACGCCGTAATTCAAAGCGTTTGTTCCCGTGTGTTTGTGGGTAGGAGCTTTGAAGCCTCAATGCGTCTATTTATAACAGTCCACTTAATGGTGCTGCACATCAAAATGAGCAAATTTGACAACCTTTTGAATTCCTAACGGCTAAAGATTAGAAGTCGGTTACTCAACACAAATCAATGTAATGCTATTCGCATCCGGTTTTAGTAAGTCCGAGCCCCTCTCTTGGTCCTCATTCATTTCTCGTGCTTATTTGGCTGCCAAATAAATAAGTAAGACCTTGGTCCGGTCTGAATTCTCTTCAGTATCCATAATCATTCAAATTCATTCGTGCCGGGTTAACTTAGGCCTTAGTAGTGGTCACATCGTGCTAGGGCTTCAAATCGAGATGAC